AAACAAGCTTGCTCCCTCCTCCCTGTGGCTTCCTCTCACATATTTATACATGGCTATCATATCTCCTCTCAGCCTTCTCTTCTTCAGGCTAAACATGCCCAGCTCCTTAAGCTCCTCATAGGGCTTGTTCTCCAGACCCTTGATCATTTTAGTCACCCTCCTCTGGACACATTCCAGCTTGTCAATATATTGAGCACTTAGAATCATAGAATCAAAGAGTTGGAAGAGACCTCATGGGCCATCCAGTCCAACCCCCTGCCAAGAAGCAGGAATATTGCATTCAAATCACCCCTGACAGATGGCCATCCAGCCTCTGCTTAAAAGCTTCCAAAGAAGGAGCCTCCACCACACACCGGGGCAGAGAGTTCCACTGCTGAACGGCTCTCACAGTCAGGAAGTTCTTCCTAATGTTCAGATGGAATCTCCTCTCTTGTTGCATTCAAATATTGCATTCAAATGTACTTGCTTGTACTTTGCTCAAGGATAAGTATTCAATAGGACGAAACAGCGGCCATTCATTTGGCTATCACAAGTGTTAAGTTGTGTGGCAACAGTGTAGATAAGAAGAGTCAACAGCCTGAGAAGAAATTGCAGCGATGTTCTTTTCTTGTCCCAAAGGATTGCTTCAAAGTAGATCATTGGAGTGATTTCTTTTTTTTTTTTTTTTACTTCCAGCTTTTCTTGGGTGATGCTATAATTACCAGGGAAGAATTGAAGAGCTCAGCAGCATCACAACATTTGCTTAGAGCTCAACAGCTGAGATAAATAAAAACAAAACACATTTCAGGAGCAATAGATTCAAAAACAAAAAATAATAATTTGCTAGCATCAAAATCTTGTGTGTTAGTGGTTGGGGAAAAGCACCTCTGTCATACTGGCATACTCAGAAATGGCAGAGGGTGGATTTGCATGTAATTCTTCCATTAGACAGACTGTGATGATAATGGCTGTCAAGCAGGTATTTCCTTTATGGTTATTTTTGTAATGTACTACCATAAAGAGTAACCTGTATTTTATTAAATACACAGTAAACAAACCTATGAATAAGCAATCTATATGCTATAAAAGTGCTTTAACCCGGTGGTGCAGTGGGTTAAAGCACTGAGCTGCTGAGCTTGTTGATCGCAGGTTCGATTCCGGGGAGCGGCGTGAGCTTCCGCTGCCAACCCTAGCTTCTGCCAACCTAGCAGTTCAAAAACATGCAAATGTGAGTAGATCAATAGGTACCGCTCCGGCGGGAAGGTAACGGCGCTCCATGCAGTCATGCCAGCCACATGACCTTGGAGGTGTCTACGGACAACGCTGGCTCTTCGGCTTAGAAATGGAGATGAGCACCACACTCCAGAGTCAGACATGACTGGACTTAATGTCAGGGGACTACTTTTACCTTTACCTTATACTATAAATGGAGCCCCTGGTGGCACAATGGGTTAAACCGCCGAGCTGCTGAATTTGCTGACTGAAAGGTCGGTGATTTGAATCTGGGGAGTGAGGTGAGCTCCCACAGTTAGCTCCAGCTTCTACCAACCTAACACGGTTCATACCTTTGGTATATCCAGGTTGGATTACTGCAATGCATTCTCTGTGGGGCTTCTTTTGAAGACAACTTGGAAATTGTAGCTATTGCTCCTAATTACTTAGAGTAAAATTGTTAGTAGCCAATCTTTTCAAGCTTTCTTTCATTAAGTCACAGTTGCACATCACACAACTTTTTTGGGGGAGGGGGAGGGCAAAGTCTAAATAATAAGGAAAATACGTTTCCGGGCTGTATGGCCATGTTCCAGAAGCATTATCTCCTGACATTCCACCCACATCTATGGCAGGCATCCTCAGAGGTTGTGAGTTCTGTTGGAAACTAGGCAAGTGGGGTTTATATATCTGTGGAATAATGTCCAGGGTGGGAGAAAGAAAGAACTCTTTTATCTTTGAGACAAGTTTGAATGTTGCAATTGGCCACCTCGATTAGCATTGAATGGCCTTGCAGCTTCAGAGCCAGGCTGCTTCTTGCCTGGGGGAATCCTTTGTTGGGATTCCCAACAAAGAAAAATATAGATCTATCCTTTTCCGAGGCAGCACTCTCCCTCTCTAAATCCTCCATCTTATCCATTCCCAGTGTCTCCATATCAAAAGTCTCCCTGTAAACAAACGAGCCTACCATGGATGTGTAATATACATTTCCAAAGGTGTATAGCTTAAAGCAGGATATGAGAAACATGGGTCTATAGGTGCATCCACACTTTAGAATCAATGCAGTTTGACACCACTTTCATAGAATCAAAGAGTTGGAAGAGACCTCATGAGCCATCCAGTCCAACCCCTTTCTGCCAAGAAGCAGGAATATTGCATTCAAATCACCCCTGACAGATGGCCATCCAGCCTCTGTTTAAAAGCTTCCAAAGAAGGAGCCTCCACCACACTCCGGGGCAGAGAGTTCCACTGCTGAACAGCTCTCACAGTCAGGAAGTTCTTCCTCATGTTCAGATGGAATCTCCTTTCTTGTAGTTTGATTGGCACTTTGATTGGCAGGGCTCAATACTATGGAATCATAGGACTTTGCAAGGTCTTTAGCATGCCTTGCTAAACAGTGCTTGTGCTTCATATCTAGTATCCCATAGTATTGTGCCGTAGCAGTTAAAGTGATGTCACACTGCATTAATGCCACAGTGCGGATGCACCTTAAGCTTCTGTCTTGTGTTTTGATTATTTTCTGAGCCTCTGCTGCCACCACAATTCAGCTTCCATTGGGGCTGGAGCTTGCCGCATGAAAGCACAACTGTTTTCTGTTCCTGTGAACTCGCTCACACCAGCTCTTGGCTCTTCGCCAGCCGAGTAGGAACGGGTTTTGTCTGCGAGTGACCTAATTCTCCTGCTGTGAATTGTTTGGCGATATCCACTGCTCATGGTATCTTGGTGTGCCCAGCTTTCCCCAGGGATGGCGGGAAGTGAATGTGAATGTGCCGGCTTTGTCGGCCAAAGGGAACGGATCCCCTTGCAAGCCTGGATTTCTTCAAAGATTGCCATCTCTGCCTCTTCCTTTCTCTCTCTTTTTTGTATTATTTACTCACTTAGGTACCCAGCAATGCCCAGGTTAGGCCTTTTATAATAATAAATATCAGAAGTAGTCATTGTTTGTTTTAGGATTTTATGAATGGTCCCATTAGGAAAATGTATAATGAACTACAACCCCCATTATCCTGGCTCAGTTCTCCCCAAATGCTGCCAGTATTCAAAGTTGGTCATGTTGGGCATGCATGTCAAGATTGATCCAGATTCATCATCAGTTGGGTTCACAGCACTCTTTGGATGGAATACACAATAAGACACACCTACACTATATAATTAATGCAGTTTTGACACCATTGTAACTGCCATGACTCAATGTTATGGAATCTGGGAGGTAGAGTTTGATGAGGCACAAGCACTCTTTGGCTTCTTACTTACTTACTTACTTAGGCGATCCCTTGTTGTCCGAGTAGGGTAATCCTCCAGGGTGGGTCCGTAGGTGACTATGGAGCCCTATTCTTGATCTGCATCTTCTTCCGCAGTGAGGGCATTGATTTCCAGGTGGAAGGCGGTCCCGGTTGGGGTTGGCTTGACGCACCTTCCTCTTGACACGCTTCTCTCTTTCGCCCTCCATTCATGCCTCTTCAAATTCTGCAGCACTGCTGGTCACAGCTGACTTCCAGCTGGAGCGCTGAAGGGCCAGAGCTTCCCAGTTCTCAGTGTCTATGCCAGAGTTTTAAAGGTTGGCTTTGAGCCCATCTTTAAATCTCTTTTCCTGTCCACCAACATTCCGTTTTCCGTTCTTGAGTTCAGAGTAGAGCAACTGCTTTGGGAGATGGTGGTCAGGCATCCAGACAATGTGGCCGGTCCAGTGGAGTTGATGGCGGAGGACTATCGCTTCAATGCTGGTGGTCTTTGCTTCTTCTAGCACACTGATGTTTCTCCACCTGTCTTCCCAAGAGTTCTGCAGGATTTTCCAGAGGCAGCACTGATGGAATCGTTCCAGGAGTTGCATGTGACGTCTGGAGACAGTCCACGTTTCACAGGCATATAGCAGAGTTGGGAGGACAATAGCTTTATAAACAAGCACAGGGGTACAATTTGCTATTCTATCTCAAATCTACCCTATATGTGTATATAAGATTCTTGGGACATTCTCTGCTCATCATTGTCAACCAGTGCTGAGTTTGGAGTAGAACTGCTTTGGGAGATGGTGGTTGGGCATCTGGACAATGTGGCCGGTCCAGCGGAGTTGATGGCGGAGGACCATCGCTTCCATGCTGGTGGTCTTTGCTTCTTCCAGCACRCTGACATTTGTCTGCTTGTCTTCCCAAGAGATTTGCAGGATTTTCYGGAGGCAGCACTGATGGAATCATTCCATCAGTCGCATGCRATGTCTATAGACAGTCCACGTCTCGCAATCGTATAGCAGGGTTGGGAGGACAATAGCTTTATAAACAAGCACCTTGGTATCCCTACGGATGTCCTGGTCCTCAATCACTCTTTGGCTAGAGACCTTGCAAMGCAACAACTCAGTATGGGAAAACTTCTAACAGTCATTGAAATACTATAGCAAAATGTGCTGCAGGATGTCCCGAAGAAACAAAGTTTTTGCAGTTGAATAACACCCCCCCCCCCCAATATTTTTATGATAGAACTAATTAGGAAATGACATTTATAAACCAGGGAGAATAGGTGTATTCCATAGTGTAATGCCCTCATAGACCTGTTGAAGTACAATTCCCACCATCTCCAGAAAGGACAACCACTGGTCCAACTGGTCTGTCTTCCTTGGCTATTCCAGTCCACACCTGCTAAGTTGCTTTTACCTATTTCATTTTAAGTAAGATTTTAAGCTGCTTTGAAAGAAGGGAGGGATAGAAATCAAGTTAATAATACAGTTTCTTTATTATAGGTATGAATATAAAATAACAAAAAAAAATATGAGTAGCATAACCTATGTTTTTTGACCTTGTTCTCTCATCTGTTTATTTCAGGACCAAGAAGAAAACAAAGGCGCCACAAGCTGGCCAGAGTTCTATATTGATCAGCTTAACTCCATGGCTGCTGTAAGTAGAGTTCTTGGAAGTTAAACTCTTGCTTATGTAAAGAGGGTTTGTGGCATGATCAAGATTGTATGTGTTCATAGGTTAGAAGATCAAAATATTGCATGAATGATGCAGATTTGTGCATTGTATAACAAGATAAGATGGGACGTGGTGTCTTTAGGATATTTAGATCCTTTAACCCAGGTCTGGGCAAACTTTAGCCCTCCCTCCAGGTGTTTTGGACTTCAGCTCCCACAATTCCTAACAGCCTATCGGCTGTTAGGAATTGTGAGAGTTGAAGTCCAAACACCTGGAGCAGTTTTTCTCAACCTTCCTAAGGTCGCAACCCCTTCCTCCAGATCAGTGGTTCTCAACCTTCCTAATGCTGTGACACCTTAATACAGTTCCTCATGTCGTGGTGACCCCCGTTTACAGTTTACTTCATAACTGTAATTTTGCTACTGTTCTGAATCGCAATGTAAATATCTGATATGCAGGATGTATTCACTGAAACAAATTTGGCACAAATACCCGATACGCCCGAATTTGAATACTGGTGGGGTTGGGGGGGGGGGGTTGATTTTGTCATTTGGGAGTTGTAGTTGCTCGGATTAATAGTTCACCTACAATCAAAGAGCATTCTGAACTCCACCAAGGATTGAATTGAACCAACCGGGGCATACAGGACTCCCATGACCAACAGAAAACACTAGACGGGGTTTGGTGAGCATTGACCTTGAGTTTGGGAGTTGTAGTTCACCTACATCCAGAGACAACCGTGGACTCAAACAATGATGGATCTGGACCAAACTCGTCACGAATATTCCATATGCCCAAATATGAACACAGATGGAGTTTGGGGAAAATAGACCTTGACATTTGAGAGTTGTAGTTACTGGTATTTATAGTTCACCTACAATCAAAGAGCGTTCTGAACCCCACCAATGATAGAATTGGGCCAAACTTCCCACACAGAACCCCCATGACCAGCAGAAAATACTCAAGGCCATCCAGTCCAACTTCCTTCACCAGGGTGAGAAAACGTAATCAAAGCCCTCCTGACAAAGAGCCATCCAGCCATAGATATAGATAGATATGATTCACACACACACAGATATAGTATCATAGATTTGAAAGGGACCCCTGAAGAAGGGCAATTATATGTTGCATGTTCCAGAGTAGGCAAACCAGACACTCTCTACATCAATACTGACAAAGAAACAGGGAGAAATACTGTTTACCCACAAGCATAAAGAAATTACATATATTAGAAACCAACACTTTCTCGTTACTTTATTTTCCACATCAACAGACTGGGCCACAGCAACGTGTGGCAGGGACAGCTAGTGTGTGTGTGTGTGTGTGTGTGTGTGTGTGTGTGTGTGTATATATATATATATATAAAAGCAATTACATTACATCATAAATACATATAAAAACCATAGAAGCAATAAAAACTATAAAAATCTATAAAAACAATGTATTCCGTTTCAATTCCTCATCCGTTTACATTGTCTTAGCCGTTCTGTGGTCATACTCCTATTTGAGTTTATCTGGTCACACTAAAATTCCAAACGCTTGCTCAAAAACCTCTGAGGATGCTTGCAATAGATACAGGCAAAACACCAGGAGAGAATGCTTCTAGAACATTGCCATATAGCCCAAAGAACCTACAACAATGCAGCTTACTCAGAAAGCCAGGTTTTCAATCTTTTCCGAAATATGTTTTCTAATTGTCTTTGGTGACCCCTCTGAAACCCCCTCGCAACCTCCCCCAGGGGTCCCGACCCCCACGTTGAGAAATGCTGACCTGGAGGGAGGGCCAAAGTTTGCCCAGGCCTGGTGTACATTGTATAATTAATGCAGGTTGATGCCACTTTAACTGCCATGGCTCCATGCTATGGGATCCTGGGATTTGTAGAAGCAGAAAGATGATCAGATCTGTAGTCCAAAAATGTGACTGGTCCCAGTTTCCCATTAGATCAGTGGTTCTCAAACTGGGGGTCGGGACCCCTGAGGGGGTTGCGAGGGGGTGTTAGAGGGGTCGCCAAATAGCATCAGAAAACACAGTATGTTGTGTTGGTCATGGGGGTTCTGAGTGGGAAGTTTGGCCCAATTCTATCATTGATGGGGTTCAGAATGCTCTTTGATGGTAGGTGAACTATAAATCCCAGCAATTATAACTCCCAAATGTCAAGATCTATTTTCCCCAAATGCCACATTTGGGCATATTGAGGATTGTGCCAAGTTTGGTCCAGATCCATCATTGTTTGAGTCCACAGTGTTCTCTGGATCTAGGTGAACTACAACTCCCAAACTCAAGGTCAGTACCCACCAAACCCTTCCAGTATTTTCTGTTGGTCGTGGGACTTCTGTGTGCCAAGTTTGGTTAAATTCCATCATTGGTGGAGTTCAGAATGCTCTTTGATTTTAGGTGAACTATAAATCCCAGCAACTACAACTCCCAATTGACAAAATCAACCCCTCGCCCAACCCCACTAGTATTCAAATTTGGGTGTATTGGGTATTTGTGCCAAATTTGGTCCAGTGAATGAAAATACATCCTGCATATTGGATATTTACATTACAATTCATAATAGTAGCAAATTTACAGTTATGAAGCAACAACAAAAATAGTATTATGGTTGGGGGTCACCACAACATGAGGATCTGTATTAAGGGGTCGCGGCATTAGGAAGGTTGAGAAACACTGCATTAGATGTTGTAGGTTACCAATGGTTTAGTGTGCAAAGAGTAGTGTGAAGGGCATTGAGATTTGCCAGGAAGACACCAGGTGATTAAATATAGGGCTGAAAAACTTGAAGATGGGCTCTGCTTTCCAGCTGTCCAAGCAACTGCAGTGGCCAAGAGCCACATGTTCATGCGTGTAAATGTGGGGATGGTTTGTTTCTGCAGACCTTCCAGGGCCTCCAACAAAAGCCCCTTGATCAAAGGAAACAGACCTTGCTTGTCTGTAAGGAAACTTGATTTATAGGCCCTTCCACCAGCTGGAGCTCTTAGCTGGCAGAGGCAAGTGGGAATTTTACAGAGGGTTACAAACACAGAGGGCTTCTCCTCAACCCTTTTCTTCACCCCCCACCCAAGCATAACATCTGCCGTTCATTCAGCAAGGGAGTTTGGCATCGTGTCTTCTCTGCAGGAATCTCCAAGGGATTGCAAAGGGTCAGAGTTCACTAGAAGCATGCAGGTCCTTTCCCGTTCATTGCTTGTCCTGTGTACACTATTGGGAGGAAAGTTAAAAGCAGTGGATGACACCTGGATTGAAAATAATATATAGGAAAGAGATTTGGGGGGTTTAATAGACCACCAGCTGGACAAGTGACCCATTTAAGGTGGAATCAGATGTCAAACAGGGATGTGTTATTCCCCAACTTTATTCTCCATCTTCATTGCTATGATACTGCACCTTGTTGATGGGAAACTTCCCACCGGAATGGAAATCATCTATCATACAGATGGCAAGCTATTTAACCTCTGTAGAATGAAAGCCAAAACCAAGGTTATAGAACTCCAGTATGCTGATGACAATGTCATCTGTGCGCATTCAGATGAAGATCTACAAGCCACTCTAAACACCTTCGCAGAAACATACAAGAAGGTCGCCCTGTCATTGAACATAGAGAAAACCAAAGTGCAATTCCAGCAGTCACCAGCCAACCCCTCTCCAATGCCAGAGATACAGCTTAATGGTGTAACATTAAAAAATGTTGATCATTTCCGCTACCTTGGCAGCCACCTCTCCACCAAAGTTAACATCAACACCAAAATACAACATTGCCTGAGCTCATTTTCCCGAATGAAGCAGAGAGTGTTTGAGGACCGGAACATCCGTAGGGATACCAAGGTGCTTGTTTATAAAGCTATTGTCCTCCCAACCCTGCTATATGTCTGCGAAACGTGGACTGTCTACAGACGTCACATGCAACACCTGGAACGACTCCATCAGTGCTGCCTCCGAAAAATCCTGCAAATCTCTTGGGAAGACAAGCGGACAAATGTCAGTGTGCTGGAAGAAGCAAAGACCACCAGCATTGAAGCGATGGTCCTCTAACATCAACTCCACTGGACTGGCCATGTTGTCTGGATGCCTGACCACCGTCTCCCAAAGCAGTTACTCTTCTCCGAACTCAAGAACGGAAAACGAAATGTTGGTTGGCAGGAAAAGAGATTTAAAGATGGACTCAAGTCAACCTTAAAAACTCTGGCATAGACACTGAGAAGTGGGAAGCCCTGGCCTGTGAGCGCTCCAGCTGGAGATCAGCTGTGACCAACAGTGCTGCAGAATTTGAAGAGGCACAAATAGAGGGAGAAAGAGAGAAACGTGCCAAGAGGAAGGCATGTCAAGCCAACCCCGACCGGGACCGCCTTCTACCTGGAAACCAATGTCCTCACTGCAGGAGAAGATGCAGGTCAAGAATAGGGCTCCACAGTCACCTACAGACCCACTCTGGAGGATTATCCTACTTGGACAACGAGGGATCGCCTAAGTAAGTAAGTAAGCTGGACATGAGTCAAGAGTGTGATGCAGCAACAAGAACAGCCAATGCAATACTTGGCTGCATCATGCATAGTGTAAAGATCAAAAGCAGTCCTAGTGCCACTCTCTTCTGCTTTGGTCAGACCTCACTGCTGGGAAAAGGAGTTCAAGGAGGATATTGACAAGCTGGAAAGGTGTCCAGAGAAGAGCGACCAAAATGACCAAAGCTCTGGAAACCTTATGAGGAGCAGCTTAGGGAACTGGATGAAGAAGAGAAATTGAGTGGGGACATGATAGCCCTCTTTAGATATTTGAAAAGGTGAGGAGGAGGAAAAACTTGGTTTCTGCAGTCTAGAGATTGGAAACATAGCAATGTATTCAAATTGCAAGGAAAGAGATTCCATCGAAATATTTGGAAGAACTTCCTGATGCTGGAGCTGTTAACAGTGACATATACAGCCTGGGATTTTGGCAGTCTCCTTCTCTGAAGGTTTTTCAACAAAGGCTGGATGGCTATCTGTCG